AAAAACAGCATGAGGATTTGTTATTTCACTTCCTAGCATAATATATATTCCAGATACCAAACTCATCATCCTACCCTTCCTTTTCTTTTTCTTCCTTCCTCTAGGAGACTATCTCAGCATCCCCCAAGCTTCTTTTATACTGACATATATTCCAAAGTCTAATAAACCCCTAAGTTTTCTTTGAATGAGACTGCTGGTTGATTATTGGGAGTCAAAGAGATGTTCTAAATTTGTGTGTCAGCATAGAGACCCATTTTATTTCAACTCAGCACGTGACTTATTTTAGCTATACATTTATCTACAAAATTAATCATTTATACTTATGTATTTTTACTTCATAATTCATATTGTTCAACACTGAGCACTATCTGGATTCTAACAGCAACGGTTCTATAGCATGCTCCAATACTTTTAATAAAGATGGACTAACAGAAGGCTATAGGATTGCTGGTAAGAAATAGCAGAAAGGTCACAGATTTGTTACACCGAAACCTCCCATTAACTTCTCCTTACTCACTGCAATTTCCTTGGAATGTTTGCACATGCTCGAGAGCAATTATCTCCCCTATGAAACCCAGGGAGCCAGGCTTACTGTCAAATCCCACACCTCGATGTACATTGGTAACATACTTGTCTCTAAAAATGGGGCGTCAACTATGTGCAAAAAAAAACCCCAAACCAAAAAGACAGAAATCTCTTGTCTGGCAACTGCAAAGGGGGGATGTCTCTCCTGCTCTAAGAAGGGTGCAGAATTCGTAAACTTCTAAGGCATTTGTTTATAGGGCAGGCTTAGTAAAGAAGAGAGTTTTTCACTACTTCGTCCAAAGCTCAGAATCTAACTGGACTCTTATTTCTGCACGATGTGTGACTCCGATTACATCACTTGGTGCAGGAACAGGCCGAGGCGACATATGGAAAGAATCAGGAGTACAGGTCCTCTCAGCCAAAAACACAACTCTGGTGGGAAGTGCTCTAGGGGCCAGTCAGAGATAACATGCCAGAAAACGCATCTATATCCTCTGTTCTCTGTCAAATAAGATAATACAGCTTAAATATAAGGACAAACTTCCCCTAAGATTTTAGACAGCATCTAGATATCAAACCCCAGGAAAACCGAGTGAGTTATTTAACACTAGCTTTTAATTTTTAGAGGCAAAACCATTAAAGTTCATCTATTTTTATTAAAATATTGAGGCACTATGTTTCCCTGCTCTTGCTAGTCTCCAAAACATTATCCGTTCCCATATTACTTTGGGTGACTGTTATAGTTAGCTATTAGCCATTGCCCCTTTGTTTATTTTAAAATGTAAACCTACTCCAGGATGTAGCAATTACAGATGCTCTGTTATGAGCAGCATGCCTATCAACATCGGATGTTATGATAAACGGCTCAAGCTCTGTTAGCCTACATGAATGGGAACTCAATTAAGGGTGCACTTTATTATGTGATACAAAATGACTACTGTAATAGATGAGAAAAGACAAAAGTGCTTAATTACATGTCCCTTCCATGCATGTTATCAATTACAGTAGACTTTCTCATCATTGTATCCTGAGATATTGAACCATACTTGGACTACTGAGGATTCTCACTAATGTAAAGATAAAATTTAAAATGTCAGTCTCCTTAATCTCCTGGCATTCTGGGACAAATAACCAGCAACATTTTAAACTATATTTCATTTATCCAACTACTGTACACACTACCAAAAATACAATTTTGTTTTCTGATAAGGCTTAAATTTTATTTAATATTGCCATAAAAATTAAAGGAAACTCATCCAAGTGGATTTTTTTAAAAATTCTAGAGCTATTTTAAAGTCAATGCCATGTCATCAGAAATCAAAAGAAATTCAGATTATATTGTTGAAAGAATCAAGCTGCCAACACGGAATCTATATGACCACCAGATTTAACTTCCCAATATATAGTGATGAATCTATCAGATATAAAGACATTTTTCAGGCAATTTACATGGCAGTCTAGGCATCTACATTACAGAAGTCTAGGGAGAGAAAAGTTCCTCTGATTTACTTATCTTACTGATACCTTCTCTGGACAAGCCCCCTTTACTGATGACATAAGGAGTTTTGGCAGATGAGTCTCCTAACATTCAAGGCTCCAAGCCTGGGCAACATCAAAACTGCTCCTTCTTTCCACCCTCCTGAGCAGAATACTTGTGCCCCCAAATTATTTAATAAGGATAACATTCGTAACGATATGATAATTTCTCTAAAGTCCAAGAAAAACTAAACATGCCTAAATAGACTGAACAACTTTTTCAAAAAATTCCACTACTGTGACATTGCCAGAACAGTTCATGTAGAGTCGTACACAGCGCTTTAGATGCCATAACATCTAAATACCTGCTAGTAGCACTGAGGTGACAACTCTCCTGTCTGCCACGTTTGTTCTCCTAGTCTTATCCTAAGTGGTGATGTGTGTGCACTAACATGTCTTCTGGTACGTTTTAGTTGAGTTTCTTAGGAAAAACAGATTTACATAATCTGTCTGTCCACTCCTTCAGCTTCTGAACCTGCTGACCTATTTCAGCAGAGCCAGACAGTACATGCCTCGGAGATGTTACATTCCTACAGTTTCCTGCAAACCACTGTTGGATAAGAGAGAGGGATCTATATTACTGCCATCACTGATGGAGCTATAGCATGAATTCAATGTTGACAGCATTCACCCATAAGTTCTCGGGGGAAAAACAAAAATGGAAACCAGGCCCATGTTTCTGTCACAGCATTTGAAAAGCTGGCCAGTTGGATGTTATACAAAGGGCAGCTTACCACAGCCCTATTGCCTGTGTTTCCGATTCCCTCCTTCTGTACTTCTCCTATTAAGCACATTGCACCCACTTTTTTTGCAAAGCAAGAGAACTTTGATTAAACCTTGATTGTTTGCTGAATGACATGTCTACATCAGAAAGGAAAAGATGTGAAAAGCATGGCTTCTCTTTCACCGAGGTAATACAAGATACTTGCTTGAGAAATAAAACCAGTAGTGTAGGGGACGTAAATATCATCAAAGCCAACTGGAAATAGGATATCTGCTCAGTTCTGATTATCTAGTCAGCTGGGACAAAGGAGAGCATTATGGCAAGGGACAGAGGAACAACCATTAATCCAGGGCAGGAATCACAGGACACAAGGAATTGAAATGAGGTTATTGAGACAGAGAGTCAGATGTAGGAAACAGAGAAAGACAGACACAAGTAAGTTCCACTACTCAAAATTTCAATATACGTTCCACTGCTCCATTACTCGCTCCTCTTTCTTTCTCCATTAAAACAGATCACCATGTAACTACGTGTTTACACTACTCAAAGCAAGTTATGAATGAATGTGAACAATGAAACTGGGGAGGAAGGTGTTGACTTTGGACCAGTCCATAGGTCCTTGGATTCACCTCTGTACAGCTCTGTCCCTCTGCTAGTGTGCCAGGAGAAACACAAACTGCCTCTGGAGGTAAATAAGACTGAAGCTTTGTACTGCTATGCCTCAGTGAAAGATCTTGGAAATTACCACCATCCTGTTGTGCCAATACTTTTCTTCCCATCTCCCATGTGTCCTCTTTACTGTGGCAAGCAACTTAAGCCAGTGTGTCCCTTCTCTGGCCCACCACTTATTTTGTTCTAGTTCCTGTATTTCTGTGGTATTCACCACTTTTAATACTCGGTACAGGGGAACCCCAGCACTGTAATGCCCATTAAATCAGGCCCGTCAGGAGGATATGGACCCCAAGTTATGCTAGCTCAAATCCAGCATAATTCCAATGACAGTCCTTGGATGGATGCCATTGATAGAACACTACTAGTTGGTCTTAACCCTAAGAAGGTAAGGAATAGCGGTTTGAGCAATTAATACTGCTTGAACAACTAATGCTTCTTCCTGTGCTGACCTGAAACCTGACTCAGACTTCTGCTGAGCTGCTGCCACCAGAGCTGTAGGACAGCAGCTGCAACAGAGGGGAGAAGTGCCCCATCACAGCTCCAACCTGCTGCCCTGGGCAGAAGCCACTGTCCTGGCAAAGACCACATTTCCATCCTTAGACCTCCTTAGAGTGGCAGCAACCCTGGGCCAGTCTGCAAGGTGCACCAAGTGGCAACTGCTGCAGGGGGGTAGGGGAGATGTGTCTGCCTGAGAAAAAAAGGGAGATAAACTGCTAGTGGGTATGAAAAATGAGGATGAGGAGAAGGAAAGAGACCTTGGGGTCCCAGTTGTTAGACTCACTCATATAGTGAGAACATTAACTTCTGTCCCCACAGAAAGTGTGTGGCATAGCAAGGACAAAGTAACTTGTGGATGACAATTCACATCCAGGTGAAGTTAATCCAGGAGGTGGTCATCAAAATGCCTGTTACTCAGGCAGTTCCAGTAAAGTAATCAAATAGACAACTATCTTTATCATGTCCTAGTATAACTTAAGGAGAGGCTCAGGAACCATACAGACAAGTGGAACTGTAAGACTGCACTGAAGCTCAGACAGATGTTACAGCAGACTGCAGAAACTCAGGAGTGTCATTTTTATCTACACCTAATTATACCTTTTTCATAGGTCTTCCCTTCCTGAATTCTTCTTAAAGGAAGAATTACCTAAAATATATATACAAGACTGGAAAAAAAAGATAGATTAAAAAAATAACACTTTTAGTTCTTCCCAACACAAATCAGATGTGAAACCTGCCTTTTGCTAGGGAGTGATTTTGTTTGTTTGTTTGTTTTTAACTTTACAGCAATGAGGACAGTACACGAAGGGTCATGCTCCTTCTTTCAGCATTAATTTGCAACAGGGTAAGTCCAGTGAAGGTGAAAAGTTGTGTGTCACTGCTGGTCCAGATAAGGGTAAATGCATTCAGCAAGTTAGTCACGGTTAAAGTGAACATTAGAACAACTGAAATAATTTAAGCAATTCACTCATCCATTCACTCCTCCAACTGCAAGCGGTTCATATAGTAAGAACAACTTAAAAAAAAAAAAAAGACAAAAATCTACCAACTAGGCTGAGCTGCCATCCTCTCCATGTAATCCTTGGCCATGCTGATGGCCTCGATGTTTTCAGGGTAGAGCACACAGAACATTGCCAGGGCCCCAAGGTTGTTGCCATAAATTTCATTCCACCGAGCGCTGAACTCCTTTGGGTCCCAGGGAGGAAGGTACTCCAGAGGATTCGACAGCATCGTTTGCACTGCCTCGATCAGACGAGCTGCAATGTGCTGGTGCGTGGTGGTGGCCTGGAGACGGAGAGTCTCCACGTCTCCTTTGGAGAAGTAGAGCATGGGGTAGCTGTCGTAGTTGGCATTGACAAAAGGAACCATCGCGTCCGGGTCCTCCCTGGTGCCGTAGGCAAAGGCAAAGCAAACCACTTGTATGAAAAACACACTTGGGGCTCCCCGTGTGTGAGTCCTCATTGTGGCATCAGATCTCCAAGTCTCAATGGCAGCCAAACCATCTTTGAAATATCCTACAGCAGATGGACATGAAAGAGAGAGTTAGAAAATGAATACGTGAGATGCTATAATTCAGGACACTCTCTAGGAAATATGATTCCATCTAGACTTAAAAACCTCCACATATTGTCCAATTGGCATTCAAATCATTTCTACATAAATACCTCAAACAAAATACCTACTGAGCAATTCATCCTAAAGAAAAACCCTTACACTTTGAAGAAAGCCCCTCCCTCCCATGTTTCCCTCTAGTAGCTGATACCAGGTGAAGTAACACACTGACTGCTCTTGTACTCTGGATTTCAAATCATTGCCACGGTGCTTAATATGAAGCAGTGCTGACTGTACT